TATTAGTTTCCTATGGCTACTGTAACAAATGACCACAAACTTTGTGGCTTAAAACAGCATATTTATTTGCTTAGAATTCTGGAGACTAGTTAATTTGATACAAGTTTCACAGAGCTGAGATCAAGGTGTTAGCAGGGCTGAACTCCCTGCAGAGGCTCTGGGGATAATCTGTGGCTTGCCTCTTCCATGTTCTGGTGGCTTCCATGTTCTGGTGGCTTCCATGTTCTGGTGGCTTCCATGTTTCTGTTGCTTGTGCCCACATTCCTCTGTGGTCATATGGCCACCTCCTCGTCTACCCTCTGCCTCTAATAAGGATACTTATATTACATTTAGGGTCCTCCCAATTAATTCAGGATAATCTCTCCATCTCATGATCCTTAAATTAATCACACTTTTTGCCATGTAAGGTAATATTTATAGTTTCCAGAGCTTAGGAATTGGATATCTTTTGGGGACCATTATTTAGCTTACTACAATGGATTTAAACATAGACTAGATAACCATATTTTTTTCTTTCCACTATTACAAAAAAATACTTTATAAGTTTTATAATTTATTGGTCTATTTTTTCTTGTGGTTTTTATTTGTAAAAATAGAATATATTTTGTATAAGGTATTAGTTAGAAGTAATACTTAATTGTTTTCAAATAGCCATGGTCCAACATTGTTTATTAAATAATCCATTCTTTCCCCCATTTATTTAACGTGCATTTTATCCCTTGCCTATCACATAGCAAATGCTAAATCTGTGTCTTGAGTTCATTCAGTGCCATCAATCCATTTCAAGGTTTCTGCAATTGTGCTATACTGTTTTATTTACTGTAGCTTTAAGGTATGTATTTATAGTTGATACATTTAGTCCCCTCTATTCTTCAATTTTCTTGGCTAATGGCTCTCCTACTGTTTTTTCATTGTGTATTTCAACTTAAAAAAAATCCTTATTATTGTTTTAATGTCATCTGGGAAAGAGATGAAGTAGATGGAAATTGTCTGCCTTCCATAATAATTCTCACCTTATTTTTTTTTTTATTCTAGTGATTTTACTAACTCATCCATTGAAATTGTATGGAAATTATCTTTTAAGAATTCTTTCTAACAATTAAATTAAACTTCACAACCACATTATCAATTGGCTTTAGTCCTCATTACATTTTCTTATATACAATGTCTTCTCCTTTCTGGAGTTCCCTATTTTGGCTTATTTTTTTTCCTTGGGTAGAACAGACTAGAACTTCAAGTAATTTTTTTTTTAAACAAAGAGTATTTGGGTGATATAATTTCTGTGTCTCTGAACATGACATTTTTTGTCATTACATATGAGAGAAATTAGTTTGGCAGCTGGTAGAATTCTTGAGTTACAATAATATTCCCTTAAAATTCGATAAAAATAGTGCCTCTGTCTTTTAGCATAGCATTGTTGATGTGTCTAATTTTCTTTCTTTTAAGTAGCCTGATTTTTTCTCCTCTATCATGAAGGTTGCAGTTGTATCTCTGTTCTTGGAGTGTCAGGTTTCATCTGGAATTGTATATTTTTCACTGATCCTGCTGCCTTGCACTCAATAGACCCCTGTGATCTAAGGCCTAACGTCTTTCTTCAGCTCAAGAAAATATTCTAGTCCTTCATGTATTATTGCTTTTCCTTCCATTAATGATGTTGTCTCTTTCTGGAACTCCTAGGAAACTAATATTGGATATTCTGAATCTCTTGGTTATACCTTATGTCTTATCCATTTAAACCTCTTTTTCTTCTTCTGTTTTTTTTCTTTATGGTATCTTCAAATGAGCTGGGGCTCTGCTGCTATTCAGTCTTGGGCTTTGCAAAGACACTGTGAAATAACTGCCATTCTGTGAGGAGGGAACCAGCCTAGTTCCTTATGTCCTTTAATTTGCTGCTGAACTGGTGCCATTGACCCTCATCCAATCTTTGGTTCTTTGAGTTTGGACTTTTTCAGGATCTTTTTCTGGAAACCTGTGCACTTCCTTCTTAGGGGGTCTATGCAGAATTGTGAGCTCAGCAGCACTAATCAGTTTTCCTCCTCACATCCCATCTATTCGGTATCTTTGCCATAGTCTTCAAACTGTTGGCTTTTGTTTAAGAATCTTTTTTTAAAAAGATTTTATTTATTTATTTTTAGAAAAGAGAATGGAGGGAGGGAGAGAAACATCAATGTGTGGTTGCCTCTCACGTGCCCCCTACTGGGGACCAGGCCTGTAACCCAGGCTTGTGCCCCACACTGGGAATCAAACCGGCGACCCTTGGGTTCGCAGGCTGGTGCTCAGTCCACTGAGCCACACCAACCAGGGCAAAACTGTTGGCTTTAGATGGCTTTTATGATGGTTCCCAGCACTGCCACTGATGTTTTGGTCCTATAGCTTTTGTTTGAGAGGAATAGGAGGGGGTAAATATATGGGTCCAATCTTCCTTCCCCAAAACACAAAGCCCCAGTGTGGAAATAGCAACGGGGGTTGAAGCCCCCTGTGGATGCCTGGACCAAATGATCCTGCAGCCTCCTCTGACCCTGGGAAGGCTTGTCTCTCAAAGTCTAAAGAATAAAGCAGCATGATGAAAGGTTGGAAAAACAACTTTTCCAGAAAGGTCTGGAGAGCAAGGTTTAATTTTGTCAGGAGGACAGAATGAGGTGAGACTTACATGGTGAGTCACACGAAACCTGCAGGAGGGACCAAGCTTAAATTACAGCCAGAGTGACTCAGGTTGGTCACTACCAAACTATCCAGCTCTTCGAAACTTGTGTGGCATCACCAAGCCCAGTTAAGAAGACTCCTTCTCTAGTTAGTTTTATGAAGGGTTAAGAGCTGTTTTCTTTAAGGGCAGAGGATGGACTGAATTACCTTCTCGATTGCCTGCCATCCTTAGGCTATTATGATTATGATATCTTGGGGCCAGTGATTGAAATAAACAGCAGCAGCAGAAAAATCCCCAGAGTAAAAAATCTTGTTTTCACTCAGCCTTACTGTAAAATTTTTTTTTAAAGTGAGGAGACACTATTTTTTTTTGTCAAGAACACTTGTTCCATGTCTTTAAAAGCAAATGGAGACACCTTTAGTTTTTCCCTCATATGCCGGGAAGAACTGGACTTTCAGTGGTTCCCTCCCTGCGGTGAGAGGCAGCCCGGGCTCTCAGCACTTCCTCCCTGCCCCTCCCCCAGGGCTGGGTAGAGAGAGAAGCAGGGAGAGGGCATGGGCCAGGCTGGGGAGAGGAGTGACAGGCCCCCTGCGGTAGGCCTGTGCCTGTCACACAGCCTCCTGGGCTCTGGTCTGTGGTGGCCCTGGGAGAGACAGTTCCAAGCTGTATGGCTGGTGACATTTCCGGCTGCCAGTGCCCAGCCAATCAGTGACAGGCCCAGCTAGCTAGAGCAATGACACATGAAATACGATAATTTTTCTGCTAAAGAGCCTGGGTGGAGGAAAGAGAAGGGAGTGTGTGTGTGTGTGTGTGTGTGTGTGTGTGTGTGTGTCTGGGAGGGGGCGGTGCAGGCAGCACCTGTGACAAGGTGGAATGGTGACAGTGCACTGGGCTCTGACGCTAGGGCTAGGGGGACGTGCCCTGGGGAGTGGCCGCAGGAAAACCAGCGTTGTTCTTCAGGTAGGCTGGGAGCCAGAGGAGGAGCACGCAGTGCCATCCTGAAGCTCAGGGCACACAGGATGGAACCCACCCCCCACCAAAAAAAAACTGAAAAAGGCATGTTTGTTCCTTCCAAACATAAAAGAGGTTAGGAGTTTTTGGTTTTTTTTTCTCACTGTTACCTCTTTAAAAGCCGAAATAAAATAGAGTAAACATCATCCGGATGGCTGAACTACTTGACAAATAATTTTAAAAAACCCATTTGGGCTGGGGGTTGTTTATCCCTGACCTCGCCCCATTTTTCTACGCCATGCTCAACCTAGCCCTGAAAAAATAAAGTAAAAACAAAAATCTTAAAGAAGGGCCTAAGTCTGTATCTTGGGGATGCTAAAGGTTCAGGTGGTAGTTTTGATTCCAGATTCTGTGTTTTTTGTGTTTTGTTTTTTTAAAATGTGTCTTGAAACGAGATCTAGTCCTAGATTACATTATAGTTTAGAAGTATTACCAAAGTAGGATCCTTTGGTTAGAGGACATGGCACCTGAGGCTTCAGGGCAGGACAGGGTGAGGACTGCCCTATAGTTAACTCTGAAGTGGCAGAAATCCGCACTTACTTCAGCCACCTTGGCCAGCTTCCTGGTCCTTTATCAGCAATGAGGGGCTCATGAGAGGTGTCACCCATGCTGACAAGAGTCCCCTGCATTGTCTGATCCCATGAACATGGGTGTTCAGAAGTGAAGGATAATAGTGTTTACATAACATGCTGATTAGTCACTAAGGAGCTCATCACTGCAATAAATGGGTCTAGTTTTGTCTTGCATTTGCATTCCCTCTCTCCATGTATATATACTTACACATATGAAAAATTTTAAAAAGTCACCAATAAATGAAATCATTATCACTGTGTGCAAGCCTGCTTTGTGGCTTTAGGCATGGGACTGACTTCCTGCGCTGGGAGTAATAGCTATTCAGAAGTGATAATTGGTGTACTGTATCTTTAAAAGGTTAAAACCCCTCTCAGAAAAGGTCTGGACTCATAGTGGAGAAGGCAAGCGAGGCATGGGTTGGCTCCGGATTCAGAAAACAGCTGCTGATTAGATTCTCTGTGGACTGAATTTATTTCATGTTTTTCAGCAGCAGGAATTCGAGAAGGATGCTACTGTTTGGCTTTCTGATCGTGATTTATATTTATTCAGAGGAATAACAGAGGGTGGATCTGTTCCCGGCGCGAGCATGCTCACAACCAGCCGACTCTCCCATTATCCAACTGCCTAGTTTGGTGCTTCAATGTACATGCATATTCCGTGTGCATATGTGTGTATACAAACACGCATGCATGCCTGGGTGGACAGATTTATATACAGGCTCTGCTTTAAGGACAATTCTTTCAATAAGGTCTTTACCCCTTACTTGAAACAGGTGTTCATGAAAAAATGCACAAAATCCTGACTGACCGGAATAATTCATGAAGAAGGGGCTGGATCCGTGGGTCAGAGAACACAGGACCAGTTTGCCATCCCAAGGCCCAAGGTAGGGGACTCTGGATTTTTATTCGGCGGATGGATTCCTTGCGCTTGATTGTATTTATTGTGGTTTTGGCCGCGGTCGCCCAGGGGAAATGAAATAGCTAGCTGCGATTCCATTTTGTCGTTGCCTATCTTGGGCACAGTGTCGGGTGCCGAGGCGGAGGAGCCCCCTCGGTGGGCGCCCGCGCGGTGTGTGGTGCCCTCGGTGGGCTGAGCGGGCTGCTCGGCCTGGTGCTGGGGGACCGGCGAGAGCCTCAAGTGACCCCACGCGTCAGTCACCCGCGGCAGCGGCGGCGGCGGCAGCGGCAGCGGCAGCGGCTGTAACCCTGTGCGCGCTGCGCGCTCCTCGCTGGCAACCTGTCTCGGCAGCGGCGCACTGGCGACTCGGCTCCAAAGAGCCTCCGCTGGTCGCGCGAATGCCTTGCTCCTGCAGCACCTGCATTTTCTTCTGCTAGCCTGGCTACTGCTCCGGGATTGCTCAGGCCCACCTGCGGTCTCTGGGGCTGGATTGGTGGGGAATGAGATTCGGAGAAAGCTGGGTGCCAAGGCAGGAGGAAGCTCCCCCTTTCTCCCCTTAATCCTAGCCCCACCTCAAAATGTTCCTAAAGCAAAACCACAACCTCCCTCCCCTCCAAACAAAACAAAACAAAAACCAAACTCTTACTCTCCTGGGGACTCTTGCCTTACCACTAGACAAGTGGGTGCCCCCTCTCCAAGTTGTGCCCCATATTTTACCATCTTTTAAAATTAGAAACACTGCTGGTGCTGAATGGCCCCTGGGGAGATTGTACGGGCTGAGGACTCTCGAGCGTGGTGGACAGCCTGAACGCGCGCAGACTTGGACAGAAGTGGCTTAGCGGGACTCGGAGGCCAGGCGTTGGTTCGTTGAGTGGGGCTGCTTCGGTTTACATTGCAGGTCTGGTGGACTTCTGTGGCTTGGCAGACCGTCCCTTGAACTTTGCGGGCAGTGATTGCCGGCAGGCGGGTCTGCGGGGTCTGCTCCTTGGATGAGCAGCACGTTGGTCCTCGTTCTGCTGCACACCCTCAAGTTCCTGGCAGCCCTTGCCATGGTACCCAGCAGCAGCCAGGAGCCGCCCAGCCACATGGTGTGCTTCCCTAGTGTTAAAACTGGCTCGCTTTCTGGTCTTGGGGGAGGAGTGGTGGGGCGGGGGAGAATGAGGTGTGAGCGGAACTGATCTGCAAGTTCTTCAGCCCTTGTTCGTGTGATTCTGCAGCCCCCAGTAATGATCAGACCACGTGCCCCAGCAGCTCCCCATCATCTCCTGGTCCTCCCCCGGACAGAGGGAGTTGGGTCCCCATATTGAAGATGTTTTTATATAACTGTGTGGATGCTGGGGGCAGGCAGAGTGTGGAGAGGAGGAAGGATCATTTGAGCAACTTAAGTGAAGAACAGAGGCAAAGATCACATGTCTGTTGGGGACAGGGTGGAACTGGCTTTGGGTTGGTGTTGATCTGACGACCCTCCCACATCCCTTTCACCCAGTCATTGCTTGTCTGAACAGTCATGTGGTCATTTTACCCCTGCAGGGAGAAGGTTGGAATCACTCCTGCAGGACCCTCTAGGTCCCTAATGAACAGGAAATCTGATCCAGGGTGACTCCCCAGGCTCACATCTCTTAGGCCCCAGCTGTTCTCTGTGCGTCCCCACTGAGGGGAAGGGTTTCTGCCCCACTGGGGTTTCAGTTTTGCTCTGGGGCTGGGCTGTGCTGTGGGTCTGCGAGCATATTTCAGATGCTGGCTAAGATGCGTGATATATGCTCTTAAAAGCTGTGATAACTTGCAGAAACTGGAAGCCCTGTACATTCTTGAATTAAAATTTTGTGGGTTTTTTTTTTTTTTTTTTTTTTTTTTTTTGGTAAGGTAGGAGAACAGCTGTCCCACTGAGATATCTGCTGTCAGGAAGGTGTGTGTGACATTTGGCTGTCTCTCTTTTCCCACTCTGCTTTGCAATGGCACTCACAGGACTCATGGGCCTCTTTATCACCCCACTTAGTGCCTCAGCCTAGGGCTGTTGGGCAGATTTATTAATATGGTGAGGAAGTCTCGCCCCTTCGGTCTAAGATTTTTTTTTTCTCTCAGTACCCCAGTGGTTCTCTTTAAGGGCCACCTTTCTAAGGTGTACGCGCTAGGGTAATGGATCAAGACGTGCTCGGCTGACACTGTTGTTGAGCTGTCTTTGCCCGTTGTGTTTCAGTGGCAGTGGAGAATTGTGGGCTGACTTTGGGTCCTTGTCAAGTGAGCCACTGGGGCATTTAGTGTATGAAAGTTACAGGCAAGAAGAAGATGCACTTGGTCTGAAGTCCTGGCAGATTCGAGGTCATGACTTGATGGACAATAACATTAAGAAAGCTGTGTGACAACTGGATAGTTTTTAAGTTCTTGCTCACTTCCCACTCTGTGAGTTCCCTGATATATTTCAGGTTCTTTTCTGCTCTCCACACTGCCCATCAAGGAGGCCCTGACATGCTGTTCTTCTTTGTATTTCTAGTGGAATCAAAATATATTTACAAATCTGCAGATATACTGGGCAGGCAGAGAGAGAAACACTAGCTACAGGAACAGGCGGCACTGGTGTTGCCAGCCGGACTTGACCGAAGCCCTTGACCCGTGTTGTTCTTCATCTGGAAAGTGGGTGTAATCATAGCCTTTCCAAACCCACTGAAACATCTTGGGAAGAAAATGAGGTAGGCCAAAAAGTAACATGTGCCTTGTAGCCGGTAGGTATTAAGCTAATACACAAAAATCTGGACCTCACGTTTACATCATTTCACTTACCCAGTTGGGACCTAAGTCATAAACTAAGAAAGATGCCACAAGTCCATGAGCTACAGTTCCTGTATTATGATCATTGCAGAAAATTTCATACCCTCTTTTAGGACTCTTTATTTATGTGAACTTTTGGGGGGCTTGGTTATTCATTTGCCAAGCACACCTAGCAAATTGGAAGAGATTGAGAACATACTGTACAAGGGTTATTAAAGTTTTCTTTTTTTTTTGCATATGTCAGTAAGAAGTATAAGTAATGTAAGAAACAGAAATACTAAAAAAAAAAAAACCTTTAAGTAAATGTAAAAGACACAGGATTCTAAAGCACAGAATTTTAAGACTCTTTAATGTAAGTATTTAGTGTAAGCAAGTCAATGAAATTTTATAATTTTGAGGAGTCTTCAGGACCCATAATTACCAATGCTCATAATGACCCATACATATCAAGAGAAGTTTAAATGACATTTTTTGCGTCCAATTTAAAAGGTAGTGCAATTTGAAATATACCCCAAATGATTTTTTAGCACAATGCTTAAATGAAAAACTGCATTTATGCAGGATTACAGAACCCCCAAGGTTTCTGGACAGCCAGGAGCTTACTGAGCAAAATTATAGCTATAATGTTCTCCTGTTGAAATTAATTGAGAACTTTTTGATCTTTTGTTGAATTTTAGCAGGGAACTATTATGCTGATATTTGTAGTGCTTATGTTCTAATATTTGATGCTACAGAAAATACTAAGACGGAAGAAAACATGTGAACTTGTCTTGCTGTGACAGGCAACATACTCAGAGCTTTCCAACTGGGCGACTGCTGTGCAGTTAGAAGTGATCCAATGACAAAAAAGATGAGAGGTCAACCCTGGTGGCATGCATTTCTTACAACAGTGTAGGGAATGTGGACTCCTCACTACCTGTGTGCTGTTAAAATGCTCATCAGAAAAACAAGTTAAAGATGTCATAGCCCAATGCACCGAGGTTGCGGGTTTGATCCTTGGTTGGTACATACGTAGGAATCAACCAATGAATGCATAGATGGGCGGAGCAGCAGGTAGGTGTTTTTCTCTCTCTCTTTTTCTCCCTCCCCTCTTCCTCTCTGTCTCTCAAATCAATGAATAAAAATAAAAATAAAAAGATGTCATGGCAACGCCCTCATGCTAAGCTGTGGTGTTTACTCAATTCAGATGCTGTGCTCAAAACTGGAAGGCTGTCTGAGTTACAGAAGCAGTGCTTAGCTTTGTCTGACCCACTCCCAATTATCTTAGTTACAATTTACTTCAAAACAAAGGCACAAGGAAAAATAAAAATAGAAGAAAATGATTCCTGACACATTTTAAACTCAATACATATGGCAAAATGGTGAAGACCATAATTAAACGTAGCTGAAGAGTATTGCTCAGTTTGTAGATGCACATACATTTATCATTTTTGGTAAATTACTGGAAGACATTTTTGAACTTGCTAAAAAACCCCCATCAATAACAGGTTATTGAATATGATAGAAGATGCTTAGAACTGTCCAAAGTTTCTATGTATATGACCACAGGGGTACTGGTGTAATTAGACGGGAAAAGGGTGTTCTCTGAATCCCAGGAGACTTGAAAGGCAGAGGTTGAAGGGGGAGGTGATGGAACCACACTCTCCAGAGGGCTGCCTTTTGGGAGGGTAAAAGTTGGGCATATGTACTTGGGCCATACATCCAGCCTACTGATGAAAACCATGCTCATGAGAAATGGGATCCCTCTCCTCCTTACCAAGTGTTACAAAATGCCAGTTGTAGCTGGCATCCTTGCGAAAAATGGAGAAGGGTGGGGCTTTGCATCAGATGTGCAGTTGAGAAGAGAGAACACCCATCAGATTCGGGGAGCATAGCCAGGGAGAAGCACACGGAAGTTAGTTTCAGGAATCTTGGAAACTCTCTGAATGTCCATGGGTCCTTGAGCTGGGGTTCAGGGCCAACTTTAAAACATAAGTAATGTTATGAGTGACTGGGATCCAAAGAAAAGCTGATAAACAAATAATAGAAGTAGAAAAAATAAAAGCAGTTGTTATACTTACATGGCACGCTCTGCTGAACCTCCATCACCACAGTAAGTTTGTTCAGTCATCCATTGGACTTCCACACTTGGTATTTGATTCCGAAATGACCTTAAGATCTGAGGACCCCTGGAAAAAAGTGAACTGATTTAATTTTAATAAAAGAGGAGTCCTGAAAACC